GGGGGGGGGCTCTGATCGACATGACTTCGCGGTTTTCTTGGTCACTTCTGTACTTATCATCACGAACTTATCATTACCGTTACAAATAATGCTCTGTTTTCTGCACCTGCCGCTACCGTCAACATATATATAGTTCTGTAAACGGAAAATGGCCTTGTCTCTAAACATAAAGAGGTGCGGCGGGTGACACCCAGTCCAAAACCCAACACAAAAACACTCTGGTAATCCCTGTCTCAAACACCGTCAGTCATAAGAGAACTCTACCGACAACGGTTGAACTTTGAAACAGTCTTCCGAGGGAGATTGCTATGATTAGGGACAGAGATTTACATGTGAAGTTAATTCTTTGCTGACAGCGTTCTGTTCCGCGGCAAAAGTAGGCTACGGGTTACGGTCTGGACACGAGTGGTCTTATCTTCACCACGTAGCTATAGGTCATCATCGATTTTGGAGCAGGACGTATCAGTCGTCTGTCCGTCAGAGGCTGAAATTTCATCCAAAGCCTCCTAATTTAAAGATAAGCCAAATGCATACTGAGCGACTGGGCAGGAGATAAAAGATTTGTGTCGTCGATATGGCATCGTATCTTACGTATGTAACGTTACGTGAAAGGCTGAGAGGTTTGGGGGATGGAAGAAGACTTTATCCTGGTTGCCATCCGTTTTGAAACTGGGCTTCTTATAGTCGCTAAATAAATAAAACGAGTACAGAAACAGATGGCTCCAAGCTAAGACTAGTAGTAAGAGGCTTAAGGCTCGAAACTCAAGATCTAGAGTCACTGAATTGTGGTCAATTATTGAAATGATCGCAAGGGCATACAACATTGCATATTATGTGTTAAGTTACAGAAGTTTTAAATGTTTTACAAGGAAATGAATATTGTACATGGTACTAAAATTCATCGTTTTAGAAGAGGAGCATAAAATTGTGAACGTATAGTATTCCAAGCATACGTAGTTCTGGTATTCACGGTTCGAAGTATTAACTTTTTAAGTATGTATGAAGGACGGAAAATTGGTCTAACAAAACCAACCAACTAACCAACGGAAAAGAAGGCCTTGTAAAAGAAGGAACAGGACAGCTAATCATCTGTAGCGCTCCGTATTAGTGACACTGCCTGCTGAGGTCTCAGCGTTTCACAACCCTGTGATTAGCAAAGGGACAGGATTCTCACCGGGTTGTGTAGCGTGTAATGAACAGGAAAGGGACACATATGAAGAGCATTACTGTGTACCGAATAGTGGAGTACGCGCACCTGGTTTAGATGATTGCAAGCTTATTTCTCAACATCGGGATGTTATTACGCCCCTAAAAGCCCCTAAGACCAATTACTTACAATTGAAATACACGGGGAAGTTTAACCGGTTTTGACAATTTGAACCTCGCGGGGCTTATTGTAAGTCCACGATTTTGGTATTCCCTCGACCTCGCCTTGACAGCCAATTGGCTTGTTTTATGGGGCGACCTTCGGGACAGCAGGGCTTGCCAAGAGCCAGCAGGGTTCTCAAAGCGGCACAGTAGGACCCAGGTAGTTGCCAAAGTCGCTGCAGGTTTTGACTGAAGGGCCAAAGCGCTCACTTTGGCAACAAATCGTTGTGATGTCTCTCTCCTAGGGATGGTGTACACAGGACGTGCCTCTAACAGGCTTCAGGAGCGGCGGGAAAGAGTGGAAATTGGTCAAATAGGCAGATAACATGCCAGGGGAGTTGGTCCGTAAAACTTTACTAAAAGGCGTACAGTTTGCCACATTTCAAATGGACTTCAAAGGACTACGGGCCCCGACGACAGGCTTCGGGAGGGAGCAAATGTACTACTTTATCAGACAAACTCCCCTGGCGTGTCATCTATCTATTTGGCCAATTTCTACTCTTTCCATGATCCAGCCGCTTCCCGAAGCCTGACAGACGCTATAGGCATAGTATTTACCAGCCCAACTCCCCTGGCATGTCATCTGTCTATTTAGCCAATCTCTACTCTTTCCAGTCGCTTCTGGTTGATGCTACGTGCACCCATCTCTCATAGTCATACTCAGACAGGAGACAGTTTCACAACTAGAGCTTAATGTGATGTCTTCCACACTGATCCCCGGCTTAACGTGACGTATTCAGCACCTTAACAACATAAGCCGTATTTAAGCCTCATCATTTATTCGGCGACATTCAAGATGATAGATGAAACCGGAAGCGTCTGAATCTCTAACGTAAGCAGGGCTCGAAACATTTTTTCTGCATACCTGCACTGGTGCAGTGATATTGAAAATTACTTGCACGAGACACACTTTAACCTGCATCATTCAGACTTTGAGAAGTATGGATCATGCTAAAACTGTTCAAAAACCACTGCCATTATTTTTTTTCGTACTCCATAGGTGGTAACAGTCAATGCAGCAAAGAAAAATTATAAAACTCTACATACATCTGTAAACCTACTACATGGACCAGTGCAGGTTAGGTACAGGTAGACATCAGAAATACCTGCACAGCTCCAATTTTACCTACACTAACCTACATATACCCAGTACATGGACCAGTGCAGGTTAGGTGCAGGTAGACATCAGAAATACCTGCACAGCTCCAATTTTACCCACACTATTACCTACATATACCCAGTACATGGACCAGTGCAGGTTAGGTGCAGGTAGACATCAGAAATACCTGCACAGCTCCAATTTTACCTACACTAACCTACATATACCCAGTACATGGACCAGTGCAGGTTAGGTGCAGGTAGACATCAGAAATACCTGCACAGCTCCAATTTTACATGCACTAACCTGCATATACCCAGTATATGGACCGGTGCAGGTAAGGTACAAGTAGACACCAGAAATACTTGCATAGCTCCTATTTCACTTGCACCAAGGTGTATATGCACCCAGTATTTCAAGCCATGTGCAAGGGAATATGATTAATTAATTTATCTGCCGGGGATGCAGGCAGGCTTTGGGCTGTAATCTCGAACCCAGAGTTGTCAGCTCCACGCGTCTCTGATTGGCTGATTGGTCCATTTGGGTGATGACGTAAACGGAGCCGTGATAGACAGATGTAATCTCTCCTTTTAAGGTAATTAAGCATGGCGCTGCGATTCCGTACGTGATCTGTATGACTTGGGCACAGTAACAGTAACAGTAACAGTAATAGTAAGACAAGTCTCGATGTTATATACAGTTTAGTAGAGCTTTATAATGAAACGCCGAAACACTGGTGTGGATATACCGTATAGGAATGTTCAGTACATACAGAATGTTAGATTGACTATTTATGTTGTCAGAAAGTAAACGTAATTATATACTTAAATGTAAACTGGTTAAGATTTGAATATCAGAAACCGTTAAAACTCTGCGTAGATGATACATTGCCATTCCTTGAGAGAGATTGATGTTGACCACACCTGTAGCCTCCTGTGCAGGCCCCGCGGCGACCCGTGGGCGGAAAGCAACCTTCTCTCGTCGGCTATGTAGGATGGCCGGCTATATTAAAATAACGCATTAAAAACTCTTCTCCACCGCCCCGGGCCTGCACAGGAGGCTACCACACCTGTACATCGACGCCGTAGTAGATCTAAGACGACGCCGAATGATAAAAAAACTAAATAAATTAATACATGTAGAAAGTACTGGCATTTCTTCTGGCCTTGCTTTGTCTACTGACAAGTGTAGAAGAAAAACCCGTATGTGGAAACACTTCTATCTGCTTTGTATCTTGAACACGTCGCACACTTCGAGACCCACCAGTCTCGGTTCGCCCCTAGCCTGTACAAGAAACGTCCCGTTGGCTTTGTGGAAACATGTCTATCTGCTTATGTATTTTGAACACGTCGATGTGCCAATGCGTGCATGCACTGACGGAGCCTGAAGCACCCTCTCATCCCCACCAACCTTGCACAAGATAATTGATACTTGTAGATGTATGGGATGTGCAACTTATGTGTATATGTGTTGATTTTTAATTTTGTAAATATCAACGCCATTCAGGCAACATTGCATGTATGTCTGCAATATTTGATGTGTCAATAAAGAATAAAGTAAGATAATAAAGTGGGAATTTAGACGAAATATTCAAATTTTCGGTGCAAATAAACTGTTACTAAGGAGGTTTAATAATGCCCCTAATCTGCTTAGTATCTTGAACACGTCGTTGTGCCAATGTGTACGTGCACTGACGGAGCCTGGGGCACCTTCTCACCCCAGCCTCTCAGTAATACATATAGAAACAAAAGTGCTGGCATTTCTTGTGGCTTTGTTTTGTTTGTTTACTGACATCCACAAGAAACAGCCGTCTATCTATCTAACACTTAGTATCTTGAACACGTCGTTGTGCCAATGTGTACGTGCACTAACGGAGCCTGGGGAACCCTCTCACCCCAGCCTCTCAGCTGTCCCCGCCTGAACAGATGGTCTCTGCCAGCCACTTGGCCCTTGGCCTTCCTCCCGTGGATCATCTGTCTTCTCTTGGCTTATCGCATCACCAACAGTCGGCTGGAGCCGGGGGCAAACTAGCCTGGGTGCCAGACTGTTGCCAGGGGCAGTATACAGACTAACTCCGCTAGCTTGGGTGCCAGACCGTTGTCAGGGCCAGTATGCAGGCTAGCTCCTCTAGCCTGGGTACCAGACTGTTGCCAGTTGCCAGGGCTACCCTGGGTGCCAGACTGTTGCCAGGGCCAGTATACAACCTAGCTCCTCGGCTCCAGCTGCCACCCACTTGGCCCTTGGCCTTCCTCCCGTGGATCATCTGTCTTCTCGTCTCTCCCGCGGCTTATCTACTCAACAACAGTCGGGGCAAATACTAGCCTCTGCCAGCTGGCTTCGGGAGGCGCTGGAGGGAGTAGAAATTGGCCAATATTCGGGGGGGGGGCAAACCTAGCCTCTACCAGGCTTCGGGAGGCGGCTGGAAGGAGTAGAAATTGGCCAATAGACAGACCAACTCCCCTGGCATGTTATCTGTCTATTTGGCCAATTTCTACTCTTTCCAGCCGCTTCCGAAGCCTGGTAGAGGCTACGGCAAACCCTGACTGATTCTGACGGGTCTCAAAGTATGCGAATATTTTGTTTTACGCAGTTGTTGTGGTAACTACTTACTAGATCAGAACGAGAAGGCACCTCTGTGTTGGTGCACCTCAAAACATTTTCATTTCATTTATTTATTTTACCAGCAGAATACACTCAGGTTACATTTAAAAAAAACTGTTTTTCAGGTAGTGCTGGGCATACAAGTACAAATACTGACAAACATTATACATTACAAGAAACAGACATAATCCAAAATGACATACAGTATAACAAAGGAACTCATTCATTTTCCACTATACATTCATAACATCACAATCCCTGACTGAATTGTACCAGCCCCACTGTCTGACAGTTATGATACTCTTGGATATGGCATCGACCGTTTCAAATGGCCGCTTACGAGACGGAAACGCGTGTCGGCGTTTCTTGGCAAGAAGCCTCAGTCGGTCTCTAGGAGCAGTGGAAACCTTTGAGGCCTTTAAAGCTCACTTCGGTGCGTTCTTGTAATTAAGAATCTGCCGTAAGACATCCAAGTAAGGCTACTAAAAAAACTACCGATCAAAACACTACGCTATAACAAGAGGGTCGGTGTTCCTTGGCAAGATGCCTTTGTTGGTCTCTAGGAGCAGTAGAGGCCTTTGAGGCCTTTGAAACTCACTTCGCTTCGTTCTTGTAATTAAGAATCCCCCGCCAGTTTCTCTCAAACGCACACCTGCCACCCTGTTGACCGAGCTCATTACTGACGCGAGAAAGGAGTGATACTTGGCGATACTTGAGGTACCTAGCTATGCTTGAGGTTACGCCTGACTAACCTTGGACGTTTGGCATACTGTATGTAGACTCTTTTGTCGTGGATTCTACATTTGTGTCTAACACTTTCAAGGCGGCAAAGTGGCCTTCTTTATATTCTCATCCAATTTGCCGCCGGAAGGCACGAGTGTTTGCCGTGTGAAGTCTAAAGTTGCAGAAACGTGCCGCCTAACACGAAAGTTGATGTGTTACGCCGAAGGGCGGTTATACCGGCTATACCGATACAAGTACAGATACAGAAATCAGCGGAATAGGAGACCGCGGCCGAAAATAGAGCCAGAATACGAAACATGAAGTACCTTGTGTCAGATTAAATTCTTCTGTTCAGTTTTGAAACAGGATTTAGGTTTAGGAGACAGGATTTAGGAATATGGCCGTTGAAACTTGGGAACAGTATAGTTGTATTTGATTTTTAAAAAGCGCACAGAAAAATTGAAGAAACAGACATGCAGTGTCGTAGAAAGTTTATATCATGATCTAGGGACGAGCACTTGCTTGGTTGGTTGGTATAAACGCACCACATTTCCTATGTTTATCACTCACTGGTGACCAGAACCTACCGTGGATTTGGTTTTACGCTGCCCCTGTCCTTGGTGCTGAAGTGTAAACCCACACGTATCTGCCTTAAATTTTACTATGCCTTGATGGACTCAGAAAGTGAAACACAAATATTACACAATTAAAGTGGTCGGCGGAAGTTTTATCGAATTTCTCCCACTTATCTTTGGGATTTAATTGCCATCTGTTCCACTATACATTTTATACGCAAAGTAATAAAAATCCTTTATCAGCAAATAACAAACTTTTCGTGTCGTTTATGTTACTACTTATAAAGCTGGAAATGGAAATTTAACATTAAGTTTCTGCGCTCAATTGGCTATCGTCCAGACTTGATACAGCTTTGACTTTCAACTTTCTCAGTCGAGTGTGGTCGTGTGGCGTAACGATAGAGTGTTCGTCTCAGAACCAAGAGGTCCCGGGTTCGAATCCTTCCCGATGCCACCTGTTTTGTGCTCTTGGGAAAGACACTTTACACGACTTTCCTGACGTATTGCAGTGTCCTCTGTGTTGGCGGTGGCATAAAAAATAAGTTTAAAAAAAACTTGAGTGTGCCATCGCCACGTCTTGTGATTACAAGTTGGAATATAAAAAAAAACTTTCTCAGTTCAATAACCTCACGGATTCGCCTTTATAAATAACCAGAGTTTCTAAAATATCGATTTTTTCTTCAGCCTGACCCGTCTGTGGTTTGTAGTTACCAGCAAGTAAGCCTGAAATGCGACTGCCGCTAATAGATATATTTGTATTTATTTCCCCGACAACTTCAAGCCTGAAACAACTTATCTAGGAATTACAAGCTGGCGATGTTTTGTTCTCCCTGGCTGTTGCACGCAGCCACCAGCAAGTAAGCCTGAAATGTGGCTGCTGCTAATAGATATATTTGTATTTATTTCCCCGACAACTTAAAGCCTGAAACAACTTATCTTAGCATTACAAGCCGGCGCAGGATGATTTACTGAGCCGTTTCTGCGCCCGAAGGTTGTCATTCGTCACGGTTTGTACCTCCAGCGACACTCCCAAACTCGTACATCACTGCGACACAGCTAAGGCCTAGGAAAAAACTGTTACGTTTCCTGTTTCAGTCCTGAAAAAATTAGGTCGGTAGGTAGGGATTATCTATTTTCTTCTTCTTCTTTTTTTAGAATTTAACGATCTCTATATAGTGAAGCTTGAGTGTTATGCCGAAGGGCAGTTATACCGGCTATCCAACTTATACAATACAGTTTCACAAAGTAGAACTTGCATGAGGAATGAGGACACTTATAGTTTCAATGTCAATGTTGGAAAACTGATTGCACAACGTTTCATCGCTCAGGTGTCAGATCATGGAGCTAGAAAAGGTCGATCAGCTTGAAAAATTCTGTATCTGTATCCGCATATAGCCGGTGTAACCGCCCTCCGGCGTAACACACCAGCTTCGCAGGCATGAGACGCGGCGGCAGTTGGCTACATTACATTCATGTTCCTTGCAGAAATCCACAAAATAAAGTCTAGGTTCAGCATTTTTTTCTAGTGTCGGTCGGGAAACAGGAAACACGACGTTTTTTCCTAGGCCTCAGCAACACTCCCAAAGTCTTAAATCACCGCACCTCAGCTAATAACCCTGTCATCCAGGCTGATACAGGCGCCTGACGTATTACACGTGCTACATATCTCCCGCTTTACACACTTCTTAATGTGTCCAGAACACGCTTATAAATGGTTCCTCACAATATCAGAAACTTAGCAACGAGAAAAGGAGCAAGGGAAAGGAAAGTAGTGTGACATTTTGGGAATACTTAAGAGAACAACGTATGATTGTGCACACGTGCAGCATATCTTTGGCTTTGCAAACCCTAAATGTGTCCAGAACAACTTTATAAATGGTTCCTCACATGTACAATATCAGAAATGTAGCAACGAGGAAAGGGAAGAAGGAAAAATTGTGTGACATTTTGGGAATACTTAAGAGAACAATGTATGATTGTGCACACGTGCAGCATATCTTGGGTTTTACACACTTCTTAATGTGTCCAGAACACGCTTATAAATGGTTCTTCACAGTATCAGAAGTTAAGTAACGAGAAAGGGGGAGAAAGGAAAAATTGTGTGACATTTTGAGAATACTTAATATGATAACTATGTATGATTGTGCACACGTGCAGCCAATCTCCGGCTTTACACACCCTTAATGTGTCCAGAACACGCTTATAAATGGTTCCTCACAATATCAGAAACTTACCTACGAGGAAAGGGAAGAAGGAAAAATTGTGTGACATTTTGGGAATACTTACTATGATAACTATGTGTGATTGTGTACACGTGCAGCATATCTCCAGTTTTGCACTTCCTTAATGTGTCCAGAACACGCTTATAAATGGTTCCTCACAATATCAGAAGTGAAGTAACGAGAAAAGGGGAGAAGGAAAAATTGTGTGACATTTTGGGAATACCTAAGAGAACTATGTGTGATTGTGCACACGTGCAACATATCTCCGCCTTTACACACCCTTAATGTGTCCAGAACACGCTTATAAATGGTTCCTCACAATATCAGAAGTGAAGTAACGAGAAAAGGGGAGAAGGAAAAATTGTGTGACATTTTGGGAATACTTCATATGAGAACTATGTGTGATTGTGCACACGTGCAACATATCTAGGGCTTTGAAAACCCTTAATGTGTCCAGAATACGCTTATAAATGGTTCGTCACAATGTCAGAAACTTAGCAATGGGAAAGGGAAGAAAGAAAAATTGTGTGACATTTTGGGAATACTTACTATGAGAACTATGTGTGATTGTGCACACGTGCCTCATATCTAGGGCTTTGCACTCCCTTAATGTGTCCAGAACACGCTTATAAATGGTTCCTCACAATATCAGAAGTTAGGTAACGAGAAAAAGGGAGAAAGGAAAGAATGCTGTGACATTTTGGGAATACTTATGAGAACTATGTGTGATTGTGCACACGTGCAGCATATCTCCGGCTTTGCACACTTCTTAATGTGTCCAGAACACGCTTATAAATGGTTCCTCACAATATCAGAAGTTAAGTAACGAGAAAGGGGGAGAGAGTAAGGAATTCTGTGACATTTAAGAATACTTAAGAGAACTATGTGTGATTGTGCACCCGTGCAACATATCTTGGGTTTTACACACCCTTAATGTGTCCAGAACACGCTTATAAATGGTTCCTCACATGTACAATATCAGAAATGTAGCAACGAGAAAAGGGAAGAAGGAAAAATTGTGTGACATTTTGGGAATACTTAAGAGAGCAATGTATGATTGTGCACACGTGCCTCATATCTAGGGCTTTGCACACCCTTAATGTGTCCAGAACACGCTTATAAATGGTTCCTCACAGTGTCAGAAATGTGGCAACGAGAAAAGGGGAGAAAGGAAAGAATGTTGTGACATTTGGGGATACTTATGAGAACTATGTGTGATTGTGCACACGTGCAGCATATCTCGGGGTTTACACACTCTCAATATGTCCAAAACACGCTTATAAATGGTTCCTCACAATATCAGAAATGTGGCAACGAGAAAAGGGGAGAAAGGAAAGAGTGCTATGACATTTGGGAATACTTAAGAGAACTACATGTACGTGTGATTGTGTACACGTGCTGCATATCTCGGGGTTTACACACCCTTAATGTGTCCAGAACATGCTTATAAATGGTTCGTCACACTATCAGAAGTTAAGTAACGAGAAAAAGGGAGAAAGGAAAGAATGTTGTGACATTTGGGGATACTTATGAGACACTAAATGTGTGATTGTGCTCACGTGCAGCGTATCTCCGGCTTTACACACTTCTTAATGACATGTGTCCAGAACACGCTTATAAATGGTTCCTCACAATATCAGAAGTGTAGCAACGAGAAAAGGGGAGAAGGGGAAGAATGCTGTGACATTTGGGGATACTTATGAGAACTATGTGTGATTGCAGACACGTGCAGCATATCTCCGGTTTTACACACCCTTAATGTGTCCAGAACACGCTTATAAATGGTTCCTCACAATATCAGACATGTAGCAAAAGGAAGAAAAGGTAGAAAAGGTAGAAAAGGGAAGAAATGAAAGAGTGGTGTGACATTTGGGGATACTTAAGAGAACTATGTGTGATTGTGCACACGTGCTACATATCTCCGGCTCTACACTCCCTTAATGTGTCCAGAACACGCTTATAAATGGTTCCTCACAATATCAGAAGTTAGGTAATGAGAAAAGGGAAGAAAGAAAAGAATGCTGTGACATTTTGGGAATACTTAAGAGAAGTATGTGTGATTGTGAACACGTGCTGCATATCTCCGGTTTTGCACACTCTCAATGTGTCCAGAACACGCTTATAAATGGTTCCTCACAATATCAGAAACTTACCTACGAGAAAAGAGAAGAAGGGGAAGAATGCTGTGACATTTGGGGATACTTATGAGAACTATGTGTGATTGTGCACACGTGCCTCATATCTAGGGCTTTGCAAACCCTAAATGTACATGTGTCCAGAACAACTTTATAAATGGTTCCTCACATGTACAATATCAGAAATGTAGCAACGAGGAAAGGGAAGAAGGAAAAATTGTGTGACATTTTGGGAATACATAAGAGAACTATGTGTGATTGTGTACACGTGCTGCATATCTCGGGGTTTACACACTCTCAATGTGTCCAGAACACGCTTATAAATGGTTCCTCACAATATCAGAAACTTAGCAATGGGAAAGGAGAAGAAAGGATGGAATTCTGTGACATTTTGGGAAACTTATGATAACTATGTGTGATTGCTTTTTCAGTAGTAATGTTTCATGTTGTTTCTCATACAAGCCCACCTCAAGTCAAGTCACACATTCAGAACCTTCACCCGATCACCATGTGAACAAAGTTGGCTGGAGTTCGGGAGCAGTCTATACGAACCTTTTTATACAAATCGAATCGAATTTGAGTTAGATTTGAGTCAAATTTAACCGCCAACCAAGACCCGACTTCGTCCGCACAACAGCCAGCCAAGTGTGGCTGCAAACATTATATTAAGTATTTCCGCACGGTAAGTTTCAGGATACATATAAGAAAATATGTCAGAACATCTGATAAAAAAGTTGGTTTTTTTTTTAGTTTCAGGTATTCTGACATGGAGTGAAGAGACATACAAAAAATGTTCAGAATATCCGATAAAAGTTGGGTTTAGTATTTGTGTTTCAGGTATTCTGACAGGAAGTTTACAAAGACTTAGAGCTGAAGAGACGTACAAAAATTGTCAGAATATCTTATAAAAAGAGTTGTTTTTAATATTTATGTTTCAGGTATTCTGACAGGGAGTGTATACAAAGACTTGGAGCTGAAGAGACACGGGTTCCCGGCTGAGGGCTGCATCAACGGGTCGGTCGTCCTGGTCAAGACACACGAGTTCGGCGGGAACAACTCATTCAAGCACTTCGATAAGGTACGTGACGCCACCAGCCCAGAAAAAAAGTCATGTCTTCAAATATCAGAGCTGAGGTGTCAAGAACTTGTATTTTCCAAGAACTATAGTACAGTGGAACTCGTTGCCATCAAGCACAGTTGCGGCATCATCACTAGAAAGCTTTAAGCAACTCCTGCCATTAAATGTTTTAACTGTTGTACAGTCCACCAAAGAACATTTGTCCACGTCCATACTACGAATTCCATCCACGAGTGGTAGCTATATATAGATGCTTGGAAATAACTCATGCTTATGGTGTCCACTATACACAGTGCAGATATTAATATTGTACAAGATTGCGACAAAATTAATGCCAGTAGGTGTCTCCGTACATATGTTGCTACCTGATAGGGAGGTCGTGTCTTATAGGTGAAGCGGGCTTTCCATCATTGGGAAAAGTCTTACGTGTAACGTTTATTTGTTTCTACCCGAAGTATGCAAAAATTCGAATAAGTGTCTCGCATGCGTGTTTTTCCTGGTTATGTGTTACCCAATGTATGTGATTTTGCCTTTCTGCAGACAATCTTGATGGTGCGAGACCCATACGACGCCATCCTAGCGGAGTTCAACCGACACTATGGCGGCCATAACGGGTTTGCCGCCAGGGCCAGATATAAGAGCCAAGGTAGGGAACACGTTTAGGTACTGTAAGTGTCACTGTGTTTATGGATATTCCAGTTGAATGAATACGCTCTTACTCTCCATGCAGAGGTTTGGGTTCTAGCATATTTTTGGCGTGTTTTTAGTTTTTTTTAATCGGGGTTTCATTTTCACACTGACTAAACAAATTCCTGTCCAAACAAAGAAACACCGATAAAATTTACTCTAACCTCAACCAATCGCCTTCTCCGTTCTTTCAGCGTGGCGAGATTTTGTCGAAGGCAAGTCCCAGACCTGGAGTAACACGTTCCTCGATTGGCTGAAGTTTCCGGGTCCGCTGCTCATCGTCCAATACGAGAAGCTGAGAGACGACCTCGACAATCAGCTCAGAAGAATAACCAGATTCTTAAACTTACCTGAAGTCTCCCAAGAAAGGATGAACTGCGTCTTAAGAAATTCGGAAGGAAAATTCAAGCGGCGAAGAAACTCAGAGGACAATTTCGACCCGTTTTCGAGACAACAGAGAGCAGTCGTTAATGTTTACAAGAAGGCTGTATATATGCTAATAGATCAGAATGAAAAACAAAATAGATGACTAGAAATTATTGTAATGTAAAATAGATATTAAATATAATGACATTAGGGACGGGAATGAATATTGGATACATTGTTTCATGCAACTTCATCTTTTATCAATGGTCAAACTATGTGCGAAAACAAATATTCTAGTAGCGCGCAAGCCATAAGCTAATATCCTCATTTCAGTCTGCGTCAAAAAGAATTTTTAGAGTACAATGCCGCTTGTAGTAATATACAAGACCCTCTCTCCGTCTAGCTTGGGTAACTTCAAGCACGTCATTGCCTCAATGTAGTCAACTAGTCCCAACTTATAGGTAGGAGGAACGTAGACAGTATGGTAAGCCTCTGCCTCAACACACCAAGAGATTTTACAGTATACAACTCGTATTTTTTATCCGTTGTCCGCATGGTAGGCACTGTTTTAATTAAGCTACACTGTTCTATGCTACTCTATTTTGTACCTCATGATATGTCATTGTTTCTTCGCTTGCTGCTGTTACTTGTAGTTGCTCAATGTTTCCAGCTAGTATTGTATTGTTTTTTTACAGGGCTTACTTACTCCTAAACAAATGCTGTTGTCACATAAATTTTGAGATTTTATTATCTTCATCAGGGATTACTCACACAATTGCCACAGAACAGTACTTCGAATACGGTTTAAACAAATTTTACAAATCAATGTTGTGGTGTCTACGCACGCACGCGTCGTATGTGGAATGTACAGAAAACAAGTGAATGGAGGTGAAATATGTAAATACATATTTTTCAAAAGAAGCAACTTGTAATATATTATTTGGGTGTTGTGATGACTTAAGCTGCAGTATCATAACAGAAGGATACAAGATAATCGTATAACAATAGGTATTTAGACTATTCAGACTACTCAGAAATACACTTAACTGGTGAATTATTCGTAGCTTTTAAGTATTGGGAACCGGATATATTCAGTACCAAGGACAGGGATGGTATTTTCAGTACCAAGGACAGGGATGGTATTTTCAGCACTAAGGACAGGGATGGTATTTCCAGTACCAGGGACAGTGTTTTCAGGGACAGGGATGGTATTTTCAGTACCAGGGACAGTGTTTTCAGTACCAGGGACAGGGATGGTGTTTTCAGTACCAGGGACAGCTAAGGTATTTTCAGTAGCAGGGACAGGGATGGTATTTTCAGTAGCATGGACAGGGATGGTATTTCCAGTACCAGGGACAGGGATGGTATTTTCAGTACCAGGGACAGGGATGGTATTTTCAGTACCAGGGACAGGGATGGTATTTTCAGTACCAGGGACAGGGATGGTATTTTCAGGGACAGGGATGGTATTTTCAGTACCAGGGACAGTGTTTTCAGTACCAGAGACAGGGATGGTGTTTTCAGTACCAGGGACAGCTAAGGTGTTTTCAGTACCTGGGACAGGGATGGTATTTTCAGTACCAGGGACAGGGATGGTATTTTCAGTACCAGGGACAGGGATGGTATTTTCAGTACCAGGGACAGGGATGGTATATTCCGTACCAGGGGCACCAAGGACAGGGCTGGTACTTTTCAGGGCCAGTTCCCCGCAAGCCGCCCGTACATTTGTGAATACAAACTGCGGGGATCCCGGGAATTGAGGTACGGCCATGTTGATTTGTTTATATGGATGACATCCGCGCATGAATGTTTCTGCCAAAAAAAAGTTATCGACCATACAGTAACAGGGGTCGAAATAGATTTTGGGGCCAACTTGCACTGGTGCAAATGAAAAGAAAAATACTTGCACCGGAAGAAAAATAGTTGCACCCTCCAAAAATACAGAAGTGATGGGAAACATCCGCTGGCAGCGACGTAGATAGTAACCTTCTGTTACTTACAAAAAATGAAGAAAAACTTCATGGATTCTGGTTTTGTTCCTTTCCACTCCAGTTCTTTATTAATTAATATTATTGGGTAATTCTACAGGTAGTAACAGTGGATAAAGCAAACTTGCACCATGGTGCAAGCAGGCAAAAAATTAGTTGCACGACACCAAATTTACTTGCACCAAGTTGCACACAGAGGGTTATTTCGACCCCTGAGTAAATACAAAAAGCAGCTACAAAATGAGAAAATATATGCCGTAAATTGCCACAAATATTGGGAAACGATACTAGTGTAGTAGAATGTCGAAATCATTTCTAACGGAAAAGAAGAAAATGTGAAGAAATGAAAATAAAGAGTCTTTCTTGCCATTCCTTAAAGCGACGGTCACAACTCGCCGTGCGTGCTTTTTGTCCGTACGTTTTTGTCGTGGCTACGTCTGCTACGTTTTTTCTGCAAACGTAGGGTGGCCGGCCGAGGGAGTACGTCACTCGCACGGTTGCGCAAGGTGTACGTACGTGGTCTGCACGACACGCCTGGCCGTCAGCGGTTGCGTGCATCGTACGTTGCGCAAGTGGTAAGTGAGTTGTTCGTGCTTACAACGTACGATCTCTGTGCGATTGCTACGTTGCCGCGTACAGGCCGTACCTACACGTGCGGCGTACGCACGGTTTCCTTACTCACTCGCACGTTGTAAGTGCGTGCACCTCCTGTTAGGGCCCTGTCACACTTCTGCGAATAGACTTGCGTATGAGTTGCGTACGGACATTTTTTTCATACGCAGCCGTACGCAAACTGCGCACTTCATATGCATCTCAGTCGTTTTGTGTAAGTTTAGTGAACGCCGGCATACGCACAGCACACGCACAGCCCGGCTCAGTACGCAGCGTAGTTTTGAGCATGCCCAAAACTACGCTGCGTACGCAGTTACGCAGTTCATGCGTTTTTAATATGTAATGCATCGGTCAAGCACGGTATGAGTATGCTATGTGTTCGTTGGGGACACGCGGCTCATACGCTGATCTGCACCTGGGACTCCACCTGTGCATAAGCTGCGTACAATGGACGCGTACTTACAGCGCTTTAGTACCGTTGGTATTGCAACAGGACAGCGCATTGTACGTATTTGTAACTAAATAATGAGAAGCGCAAAGGTAGCGTACAGATCTAGATAGCGAACTTGCCGAACACCTGGGCTACACCCGGGGTACCGGCTCCTCTAGACCCCATGGTTAACAAACCTTCTGGAGATTGGCTGTTTCTAATATGTTTTGCTGAAAAGTAGATGATCATTGGGAAAACGTCTTTCCTAAAGTGCAATGTTTCACAAAAATGCATTTTGACACTTTTTAACACAAAAGAACACCCTTGTACCGCCTCCCCAAAAATGATGTTAGGACTGGCCATTTTGCATATTATCAATATATCTATATTTAACATAGAATATTTGCTTTTTGTTGCCTGTCCTTTGGGATGATACGCCAGTTGCCTGTTTTTGTTGTTTTTTTTGTCCGAGAAAATGTGTAGTGTACGTAGATTGGTACAAAATAGTTTATAAAAATGTAGAAGCATAAAAGCTACGGGCGAATATAAACTCAATGTCATGAAACATCTAAAGATGATGGATTTATAACAGTAGCCGCTTTGAACTGTGGTTGTAATGTAGTGTCGGAAGATATATAAAGATGGTAGTGTTCACAGAGATGTGTAGTGTCCATGCTATCTGTGTGTATGCGCAATTGTAAATTGGCAATTGTATTTGCAAGTATGCGTGTTTTCATTATTTTTAAATTATTAAGGGATGGTATTTCTTGACATCTCCAATTCATCAAGGCTATTAACAGTCTAACTGTTATGTTTGTATAAAGACTGGGTACGTGTATTTAATTTACCTGACAATATATTACAGGAAATTGACCAGGGCTGGGGCGAAATGGAAACAAACACATTTTATCTGAGTTGAGGGCGGCCCATGAATGACTCGCTGCGAATGAAACAGCAGGAAGCAGCGGGGAATACGTACACAAGACGCTTGGCATTCGTCGGAAGTGCGTTAGGCATTTGGTGGAAATACGTTGAGAGCGTCCGGAATACGCCTGGCCTTCGCAATGCATGCGAACGCCATACGGATGACATGTGCAATCTATGCGCTGAATTCGTTATTTATACGCTACATGTGCGTCACAGTACCCTCGCATATTGTGCGTACAGCAGAAATGTCTGTACGCAACCCATACGCAATTGCTATTCGCAGAAGTGTGACAGGGCCCTTAACTTCATCATCACTAGCCGCCCTGGTGTCTTCCGCGGCCCGTTTCTTTGGGTCTTGTCTGGTAGTCTTCTTCTGAGCCATCCTGGGCATCTTGGAGACGAGTTGGCAGTCGCCCGTCAAGTTGTCTTTATATACTGTAGAGATCAGGTGCGTTGCACGTGCGGAGCACCTGGTATGGTGCACGTGTGTTCTGCGTGGTCATTGAGCAGGTCAACTGGGAAGTGAGGAGTAAGCACGGATGACGCAAGCACCGTGCGTGGCACGCTTCGTGCGCTGTCCGTACAGCAATTGCACGTGAGAATAGTGAAGTTGCACGCTCATAGGCTGTACGGGGCACGCGCGTCGCACGTACTCGCACGCACGGGTGGTAAATCCGTAGACCGCACGTAGAAAAAGTATGCACTTAAAGTTCTACGGCGTGTCTGCGTGCTCCCAAATCCGTAGGATTCCGTACGGAGGTGATACTCACCACGCACGGATGCCGTACGATTGCCCACGTTTTTGCACGTAGACAGCACGCAGAAGCACGCACGGCGAGTTGTGACCGTCGCTTAAACGACTCGATCTGTGTGTTTAACATCATTATCATACGTAACGTTAACCAAATAACCTCCCAATAACCCCTACAGAGCACTTTTAGCAGCTTTGTGCCTCTCTCTAAAATTCCGCCTGCAATATTTCTTGATTTGTGCATCTATTTAAATTTTTCCAAATTCAAGAACGAGAGCCGCGACTCCACTGCCCGAATCGGAGGACTCGAATCTGGGGCTAGTTTCGTTACGTCATGTGTGAGGACAGCGCGCGTCATTCGTAGCACGAAGAAGTGTTGCGAAGTCGTCCAAACTCCACGTTTTTGCAGGCATTTTACTGTGCTGTGTGATGGAGTAGGGTTTAGAAGTTCACCATGCCGGTTGACAAGAAGGCCGAGCGGTTTGTGAACCGCCTCGCGCACAAATTCAACTCAGGTAAGCTGAAAATTCGGTCTTGCTATAACAAGTTACAAACTCCACATGCCCACCATGTGCCATGCATGTGCACACATGAGTTTTAAGTTTTTGAGAAGAAAACTGTCTGAACCGTGCAGACCACATGAATAAATACTTTATTCGGCTCCTATATTAGATGTTAAAGTCGGCACGAAAGCTAAGGGCCTCTTGTAGCCTGAAATAAGTCCCGTGTGTTATGGCTGCCCCCCTCCCCCAAGGTGTAAATAATACCCAGCTGGCTTTTGGCTCTCAAACTCCCTTCCTGTTGTAGTGTCAGGGCTCGAAATCCTTTTTTCTGCATACCTGCACTGGTGCAGGTAACAATGAAATTTACCAGCAAAAGTATATATGATATATATAAACCCAGTACAATTGGACCATGTATATGGTGGACTAGTGCAGAGGTTAGGGGCAGGCACACATATAATATACCTCTACGTAGCCGCGGCGACTGTTGCAGGGCTTCTCTTGCTTGCAGTCTTTTACATTAGCCCTAACAACAGGGCTAATGTAAAAGACTGCAAGCAAGAGAAGCCCTGCAACAGTCGCCGCGGCTAACCTCTACGGCTCCAATTTAACCTGCATTAAGGTGCATGTGCATCCAGTATGCCAAGCCCTGAGTGTGTTTGTTAAGTCTACACGTGCACACAGATACACCAAGGAGGTCTCTTTTGAACCTCCTTGGATACACTGACAAACATTTGACTTTTAATACTGATGAATGAATCATGACAAGGTTTATTAATATTATTTATAATTTTTTTTTTCCCAGATGAGTGTGCCACCATGGGAGAAGCCAAGTTCAGGTCCATGTTCCAAACTGCAGTGGACGACCTTCCCGACAATAAGAAACTGAAGGACTTCCTTGTTGACAACTTTGACATGTACTTCAATAAGCTGTGGAGGTGGAGAGTTTGTCACTAATCAGTAACCCATGTTTTTTTGGGTTGCTCTTTGGTGTTTTTTCACTATTAGTGACCTTACACTCACTTACACATGCCACAGTCACTCACTCACTCACTCACTCACCCATGCTCACTCACACACACACACAAAATTATGATCACTAGTATAGTAAATTCTTTTGATATCCAATATTTAAGTGTGTTTTCTACTAGATTCTGCTTATACCATTCATATTCCTTTCCCAATAACTGAAAATTATTCTGATGTTCCTCAAAGCCTTACAATATAAAAGAGCTAAAGGCTTGTAATATTATAACATGTTTGTCACAGAAACGTCCGCGGCATCACATCGGCACACGAGTCAGTACCAGGCTCTGCTGAACACCGATACAATCTGCGGGCCGCCGACGGGCTACGCTCGGCGCTGACCTGGGTCAGAACGTTACCCCAGGCTGAGCAGATGCCACACTGTGAGTCAGTGTCATTGTTATTTCATGGTTGTCTCCACAAAACTCCTTTGCAGGCTGAATAAATAGTACTAGAAGTCTGCCTAAAAAGGAATGTAGCTGGCCAAGGGGAGTTTGCCAGCTATAGAGGGTCCAATTTGCCTGCAATAGTAAACACTCTATGGCCGGCTAACTCTCCTGGCCAGCTACATTTTCAGCTTCATTTTAGGCCAATTTCTACTCTTTGTTCAGCCTGCAGAGGTGTCTGGTAAAGACTAATACCAGGGTGTAAATTGATAATCACAATGTGTCAATGGAACAGCCAATATGACATAGGGTATAGGGATTTTCTTCTTACACAACCGGTAATGTTTCTCACCTGCTTATGTTTTGATGCCTGTCAGACATCTTCCTCAGAGCTTCTGACTGGAGTTCTGCTTCTCGCCGCTATATGTAGCAGACATAGGTGGCACTTTTGCTAAGCACTACCTATATTGGCTACATAGTAGTGAGAAGCAGTACTCCAATCAGAAGCCTCTTTACTCATAACCTTTTCTTACCCTTACATTACACCAGATCTGAACTTGTTCCAAAGATGGTTCCCGTCAGTGGAAGGTTCAGACGCCCTTCTGGACAACATTATCTCCTCCAAGAAGGACGACCTTGACTGCCTGGTGACCTTGACCCAGCTGTTGAACCTGAACAAGCAGGCGGTGGCTCTGCAGAAAGTAGCGGCAGCGTTTGTCAGGTGGGTTTGATGTAGTGCAGCAACAGTTCGTAAATCTGTACACCACAAAAGCCGCTACCGCAACTTAGATCTTGACCTACTGTTGCTGATTTACGTTGTAGTCGTCTGGCACCAAATTTCTATTGATTACAAGGATAGGCAGTAGGGAGAAGGTTACAGACTTGATATACCTGTAATACAGCTACAGTTCGTAACTCTACATCTGCAGACAACAAGAACTGCTACCGCAACTTTTGTATTAGATCTTGACCTTCTGCCTCAGGCACCAAATTTCTGTTGATTACAATACGAGGATAGGCGGTAGGGATAAGGTTAAGGTGCCAGAGAGCAATGGTTAGATTTCACAGCATGTCTCTCAGTTCTTAGACAAACTTTCTTATTCTACTATAGATTGACACAGTTAATACTGGTATATGTATATTATATACACTGTATATAAACAGTGTATTTACACCAAAGCGCTTTGGGAGAGCATATTTTCATGCCTTGTTATATTTCCTGGTTTCATATGGGATGACTGTTTTGGGTATGTTGATTTAGAAAGATGAGAAATAGCATATCCCCAGTTTCAGAACGTCAAATATGAGGTAAAATGACATTTTCTATAACATTTACAGATTAAACTTTATTCAACACAACAAAAGTACAGCGACTTTCATAAGGCTACTACATGTAGACATACAGACAGACACGTGGGTACAACAAAATTTACCTATGTACAAGACAATGGATGAATCAACTTATATTACTTGTTCTAAGGTCTGATACATTTACCTATTTACAGACGACTGGAGCAGGCATATGAAAACAGCCTGCAGGAAGACCTGCCAGACAGAGCAGCAGAACTAAGAGAGATCGTGCTGAGGTTCCTGATGGTGCTCAACATACAAAGGGACCCTGCAGTCAAGGTGGCACTGGGTTTCATTTTGTCTTTGATGTTGGTGTTGGTTGTAAATTTTCAACAATTTTAACACAATACACCCATACATGATACAGACATCATAATGTCTTGAAAGCATTTTTTTCAGAGGAAAAAAATCGTTAAACGTTTGTACGATTCTACATGGTTTATGATTCTACATTACTCTTTAGCATATGTTATATGGCAGCAATATTTTCAGATATTTATGGTGTTTTGTTCATGATTTCTTTTGTACTATGTTGTTTTAGTGGGAAGACCCTGGATATGAAGACCTGGTGGCAGCTTTTGTTTCCGTGTATGTGGACCTGAGCCTACTGGTCACAAGAACACAGCTCAGGTGAGTTTACTGTTTTATAGTAAAGCTAGCTTTGTGTTGGTTGGTAGATGTCATACCTCAATCACACAGGGTTGCTAGCTTCTGTCATGTAATGATTTTTGATTATATACTCTGACAACCATCAAACCGATCAACCATCAAAACCAAGTAATTTGTCACTGTTGTTGTTAGCACATGTACAAACTGTACAATTCTTTTGTGTTGAATGTGTGTATAAAGATCCTGTACTCTAGCTGTCTTGCTAAAATTAAAAGGATTTCATTTTTCATGTGCAGCTCTAAATCTGATGGCAAAGTGTCTGAAGTGTCACAGTCCATCGGAAACTGCATCCTTGTGTGGCTTGGTAAGTTCCCAAATGATTGAATGACCTACAGTATTTATTAGGATTGTAGAAGCAATATGCAGGTTATATCTGTATATCAGGAGTATATTGTAGGTAGGGTTTGGTACAGCTCATGCCAGTACACAATCTCTACAGTATGTACAAGTAAGTGACAGCATTGTTGTGTTTGTTCCAGGCCACTCCCCAACTCACATCCTGGATGTACTTCTGCAGTCTGAGGCAGAAGGAGAGAGAGACGGGGCGATCCTCACACCTGTATACAGGTCAGTCTGGATACCAACTAAACTGTCTCTTAAACTTAGCATCAGTCTTCTTACTCCCAAGAAAACTTTTTCTTAAACTTGGCTTCTGTCATGCTACCAAGAACACTGGCTCTTAAACTTGGCAAAAATCTACATCTTTATGGTACATGTAAGTGAGGAGTCATAAGGCCAAGAGTTGTTCTAACCTAGAGCATATGACCAATCACTCTGGTCTTCCGAAAATAATTTCATCAGGTTGGTAGAGCATAGGATATAGGGATTTTCTTTTACAGTACCAGTATTGTCTCTAGTCAGAGGCTCTGGGGGAGGCGTCTGATAGATGCTGAAATGTAAGCAAGGAAAAAGACACTACTGATTGTGTAAAAGAAAATCCCTACATCCTACACTCTGATCTTCTTCAATAGACTAACCCAGTGAGACTTGTCATGTGGCTTCTCTGAAGTTTACCAGACACCTTTGACCCAGTGTTGACGTCACACTTCAGAGAAGCCACGTGATAAGTCTCACTGGGTCAGTATATTGAAGAAGACCAGAATGTTGGAACATAAGTTTTAACTTTAAACATGGTTGGTGTGATCTCCCCTTGCAGGAGATTTCTGCACACCGCCCCTTCACCTTTGACCCACCAGTCCTACATCAGATACATGTGTGCCGTGTGCAAAGCCAGGGACATCATCCCGCAAAACTCACCTGCATGGAAGTCACTACAGAAGGTATCATACAGGGCAGCAAAATAACAGTGTTTAATCACATTGTCAGTGTAGTCAACCCCATGTTCTACTATAATGTAATCTGTAGTCTGGCTATTACATGTATCATACATGCTTAGGATACTAGTAGTGTCTAGATTTAAGTGTGAATTTGGATTAAGTGGGATTTAATTAAGGTAGTTCACAAGTTCAGCAATATTCAACTTCTCATATCACAGAAATAGGATAATCCATCTTACACTGTCAGAAAAGTTCACCTGTGTTGGTAGTTACATGTTTCGAGTTGAAACTTTTGTTCCAACACAAAGATTGTCCTCATCTAGACTGGTCGAAAGCTCAAGGTGAGAACAATTCTTTGTGTTGGAACAAAATTTTTAAATTAGGACAATGCTTTTTTTAAAAGCTCTTGTTTTCTCAGAATCAGCGGTTAGCAATAATCTACCGTCTCTGTCTGACCCCAGGCGGCCCTGAGTACACCAGCGCCCCCTAGCTTTCTGCAGTGGTTGTGCAGCAGCAGTGAAGAGCTCATGGACCAGGTACTTTTATAACTGAATCAATCATTGTGTATATATCAGTTGGTATGCTGATGTAAATATTGGTTTTTGATTTTAGGTTGTGAAGACAATGTTGTTACTGTTTTGCAGTCAATTTCTGTAATATTGCTTCATCAATTCGGTCTTCGGGCTGCAACTGTTGTGATATAGTTGATAATATAATGATAAACCATTCTATAGGTGCCAAACACCCCCAAGTGGACCGGCTCACACGTCACCAAGTTTCTACTCATGGAGGCAAGCCAGGATTTCAGGGAAAATCTACTGGATGTAAGTCATGATAGCAGAAATATTGTGGACTTATTTCTCACATCAAGCTAACCAACATCTCACATTAGTCATCATCCCTCACAGTCAGTAAGACATCTGGAGCTGCAAAGTTTCTATTTAGAACTTTTATTCAACTTGTCATGACCACAAACCAAACCAAACCAAACCAAACTGTGACATTATGTACCGGTAATGTTGTTGTAGAAGTGTTTTATCACAGGAGAAAATTGTTTACTGGATTGTCATTGACACAAACAGTACAATGTTGGTGCATGTTTTAAAAACAAGCAGTAACAGTTAATTTATTATTACTGGCAGAGACATAATCAAACTGTACACTTTTACATATTGTACACTTGATATATACATGTATTGTACTAGTTCTCTTCTTTTTATGCTGGATTGCACAATCTTTGTACATTGTATCAGCCCTGAATCAGAGAACTACATTCTTCTCACCTGAACCTTAAAGTTTGGGAAGAGATTGACTTTTAGGCAGGTATCTCCCTTTCACAAGTGTCGGTGGACTGTCCCTTCTAGTCTCTTCTCTTGTCCTCCAGGCCTGAACCTGTGTCAGCTGATGTGCATGTACAGGGAACGAACTTCTGTGGCTGAACACACCACCACTGGTCTTAGAGCCACTCACTCTGACCTGACCGAACGGTTGTATCTGTGTCCTTTGTAGGGAATGTCTTCTACCTGTGTATGGGTGGTGAACAGATTTGTTGGACACTCCTTGGCTCCCAGAAGTCACTAATGTGTATGTGAAACCTGTTCTTTCTTGTTTGTCTTTTGTCTTTCCGTTTTCTTTCGGTTCTTTTGTTTGACTGGTTGTGAGATGACTTCCTGTTTCTGATGCGTGGTGTCCAGTTTTCCAGACAATGGGCGCCGTCCGACTTTCAGTTTCTGACTTGGAAGGAAGCTTGTCCTCTTTTGGTTTTACCCCTTCAATGCTTTGATTTGTGGAGACTTTTGATGTCCCTGGATGCATGTCAGTCTTTGGGGTTACCGTTTCTACAGAAGGATGGTTGGAAGTTGTTGAAGATGAGATAGTTGACAGATCATCAGCACTCTCTTTATCCTTTGTATCTTGACCTGTGTCTTGCTGGCTTGGTTTTCTCTCAGTAGTTTCTGCTCTAGTTGATGTTCTGGAGAGTTGTTGTGGTTCGGTTTTGCTTTTGTGGATGTCACTCTCGTTCACAGGTGTTGTGGAAGTGTTTTTACCTTTTTCAGGCTGCAGATTTGGAGTAGAAACTGTTTTCTCTTTTGGCGAATGTTTGTTTTGAGTCCTTGAAGGAGGCAGATGCTTGTGCAATTTCTTCATTCCTTTCTTCACCAACTTTATCACCTCGATATATGATACCCCTTCTGCCAGCTCTTTCTCAATGTTTTCCAATGTTTGGTAGAGGAAAGACAACACTTTCGAAAGCTCTGCGACTTTCCTTCCTTTTGATTTGTTGTCATTCTGCAGTCTTTTGTTTTCCTCTCGAAGCGGATGATCTGGTGTTCTCTTGTACTCAGTTGTGAGTTTTTCGTAGAGAAAGTTGTAATCGGCTTTGAGAGAGTCACAGAAATGTCCGAAGGCATTGGGGCCTCTTAAAACAAGCAGGTCGAGAAACTTCTCAACTTGTTGCCTCCTGGTTGGCTCCATTTGTATCTCTTCAAACATGTCAGAGCTGCAGACCTTCTTTTCTATGAGGTACGACTTGATGTCGCCAACGCGTAGATTGTTCACAATGTAAAGCTGGTGGTCGCGTAAGAGTTCCACGTCCCTTTCGTCCATTTTGAAAGCGTTCTGAAATGATTCGAGAAATAAACTTCAGTGATGACACTTTTCAACAATCTCGTCCATTTTCTCCCCCTTATAATCACTGACAGTTTGATGACAGGAAGCAGTTATATATTAAGTAATGTTTGTCATACAAACCTAAGAAAACACACATTTCAATGTGGAATGTGCCAAAAGTTTGGTGTCTCGAAACTAAAATAAATTGTAGCAACATCAATTCCAACATCTAAATCTGATATTCAAATGTTAGAAAGTGCCATGCTCAAAACATTCTGGAATTATTATAAAAACACTTTTGGAAGCCTGTTTGATAACCATTAGAACCCAATGCGATAAGGCTATTTATCGCAATTGGGCCGGGAACTGTGTCAAATGTTATTGCTGCCTAGGTTTGACATAAATGTTTGTACGTGTTTATTCCTGTTTGTACGCTAAATACACATGTATGTGTAGCTACCAAATCCCAGTACCTCAGGTATGAACTTAACACAGTAAAAGCACCAAAATGAGATTTGACCCTTTTGCAGTCTTTCATGTACAACCAGAAAAGTTACAAAATTTCTGAAAAATTTATTTAAAAAATTTCATTAAAATTTGTCTTACTTAAACTGTGTCAACTACCCAACTAAAGCTCAGAGTGTGGGCGTTTTTTCTGTTGCGTACAAAAGTCAATTGGTCCAAAGTTTGCAGCTTTACATCTGCAGCCTTGACAACCCCTGCTCTGAAAAAAACTATTCTGACTTCTAAAACTTCTAATACCTCTTATTCAGATTTGTTAAATGCCACATATCCTGCAAAAAGTTTCTTTTCATTTTGCAAAGTCCCCGGACACTATACCTACATCGGTCAAAGTAAAAAGAGGGTACACGTGTAACTTACCTATTTTCCCTCGCACGGTTGCAAACCTTCGACGCTTTCCTCGAATCTGACAATGAGTGTCACAAGCAAGAGTAGAGAACCATTCCTACATCCCACAAAATGTTGAGTCCAACCATGAGTTGAGGAAAGAACTTTTCTTCCTTCCCAAATCTGGTGCACATGTGTCTCTGCTGTGTTGTCTGTTTCGTTGCTGTGCAGTTGTTATGCACTGTTGACTCAAGTCTGTCACTCGATACATACCTCTGATAGCACTCTGTCTCCTTGTGCAAAGTCCATAGCATGTCTCGCACTGCGCATGTCTGGTGCACCTCTATATTTATCTGTGTTGTTTAAGAACATATTGTCCAACCGACATGGTATGGGGAAGTGGAACACTGCATTGGTTACTCAGTTACTCTGGTCTTTTCATGCGCAAACTTTCTGCTTTGACTACAGTGTGTGCGCACAAAAGATGGGAATATTTGCTTAGTCCCTTTCTTTAGAACTTTGAGACACTGCCTTAAATTGCTGTGGGGCAGAATTAAAGAGTACACAATGCAGTTACTTAGAAAAGTCATTAGGTGTGGGCTTTGGGAAAATGAAGCTTTGTTAAGTACTGTATTACTTAGTAAACCAAGACCTTTGCTAGACAGGTGTGCATATCTGCCTACTTGTATTTACTTTTCACACGTCAATGTCTTCAAAATATGACACAGACAGAAAGTGAAATATCATTTCACCTGTCAACACTTTAATATCAAAAATGTTGGCTAGATGTTTAAAAAAATGTAGAAATTTTAAACATAAGAAAAACAAGTTATGATAAAAAGGTGATACAGCTAAATATTTGCTTACACAATTATAACTTACTAAAGGTGCACTATGTGGGCCCTGAACTGATGACACAGTTCATACCTGTGATGTTGAAACAAGACTTACTTAGACTTAGTTCCTCCCGTGCAAGGCACATTGGGCAGCAAGTCTTCTCCACTCTGCTCTGTCTTCGGCGAGGGACTCGGCATCCTTCAATGTTATCCCCCTGCTTTCCAGATCTTCTTGAAGGGCACGTCGCCATGTTAGTTTAGGCCTCCCTCTTTTCCGTTTGCCCTCTGGTTTCCAAAACACAGATGTTTTGGCGTGTCGGTCTGAGGTCATCCTGAGGACATGTCCAGCATACCTCATCCTCCTCTCGGTGATGGTGATGCTGAGTGGTTTTGTACCAGTTCTGTGGTATACCTCCTCGTTGGTAATCCTGTCTCTGTATGTTATGTGTAAAATTTTGCGGAGGCATCGTTGTTGGAAGGCATCCAGCTTGTTCCGCATTCTTGTTGTTATCTTCCATGTTGAAACAAGTTGTCTGTCATTAAGAAATCTCACCAGGTATAGTATTTCTTAGTCTCTATACTTATCTGTTTTTTCTGCATTTAACAGTTCTGAGTTTGTGAGCATTCCTTGTAGCCTGGTTACCAAACCTATTTTAGCTCCCGAGTCCAATGTCCTCTCCGCTATTTGATGAAGGACTCGGGAGCTATAATAATTTGGTAACCAGGCTATGTTCCTTGTATTCTTGCCATGGCACTGACCTGTGCTATGGGTTAGAACATTTCTTGTAATTCATGACTTGTCTACTATTAAAGCAAATAATGTATCCAAAGTAGCATTAGCATTACTTCAGCATGAAAGTTCATCTGAGTTGGTAAACTTTCAATAAACCATCTATTATTATTATTATTATTATTACATTATGAAAAACTTAAAACTTTTCTCCAACTCAAAATTTGACTCACCAGAAATTTTCGACTGAATCACTCAGTCG